CTGGTACCGGTACCAGAGCAACTAGTAGCAGGACCTTCCTCCTGCTGTCGACGTCTTCTCAGTTATTCCATAACGTGAAGAGAATTGCATTTCTTTCTTTACGTCTCCAGACAGCATGTAACGTCACCAGAACTAGTTGAAATGACAGAATAATTGCACCTTTCCTGATAGTAGCAAAACGTTCCTGATAACTTCTCTCCATTGTACGTAGATGTGYATCCCTGAGAGTTTGTGACTTTACTTCCTGTTTACTACAGCCATGTGTAACGTCAACGTCTGATATAATCACTTTGTGTAGTCTGGTTGATTTGCTCCAAGCCAGTTGATGGAAACAYGTYTGATTTGCTTTTCTTCTTCTTTTCCTTTTTTCAACATTTTAAAAGTTCACTCAAAATTCAAATTGAAATTGGATGGAAACACGGCTACTGTTCAGATGCTCTCCAATCTATGTGAAATTATGCTTTTTTAAAAGAAGAGCTGTTAGCGACCAACAACAAAAGACAGGCGGTTCTACAAAAGTATTGACTCGTGGCTGATGAATACAAGYCAAATGTTTAGGATTCAATGTTAGCTCAAAACGTAAGGCGATCTGTGTTTGRTAGATTATTTCTTTGTTGTAACAAGGTTTCTTGGCAACAAATCTTATAGCCTGTTGGAAAGCCCATTAATTTCACTTTAAATTGTGCCACATTTGTAAGGAACATGCATTTGTGGGATGAGCAGCAGAGCTGAGTATGTGGGTTGTGCACATAGAGAATTTGCCAAATGTTCTCTGCTAAACAGCCTTTTTTGCTGTTGATGCCCTTTGAAATTCTGGTACCCCAGGTGCTGCTGATCAGGTGCCCAGTATAAGAGTTATTGCCAAGAAGCATTGTTACAACAAAGGAATAATCTACCAAACACCAATCTTCATACGTTTTGTATTATGTAATGTTCCTTTAACTTTACAATTAATCTACTTTGTGTTTCTCTGTCACATGAAAACCAAAAAATACTTTGAAGTCTGGTTGTAACGTGGCAAAATGTGACAAATTTCAAGAGATAGACTTTTTTAATAACACTGTTTTGTTGTGATGTTGAAAATATCTTTGTCTCCTGTGTCCACAGACAATGGAGGAGTACATGAGCAAACCTGCCTACTGAACAAGCAGATGACCGGGTCTCTCTTTTTAAAACTTGAAGCAAAAGTTGCTCGTAGAAGCTAGTTTTTATTCAACTCAGGGTTTTATGACAAGAAATCGGATAGCAAAAAACATTTTTCCACTTTAAGTGCCTTTGTTCGACACGTTTGTTGGGTTTGTTTGTGTTTGGACTGATGCATTTTGCAGAATACAAAGAGAAACACTTAGACGGAAGGAAAAATAAAGTCAATGCTTTATTAACCTCAAGTATGTCACATAAGAGCACATTTAAGAAATATTTACAAAAACCACAAGTGAATCTGGAGATGTAACACTGATTTTGACTCTGTGTGTAATTGTAAGGCCGGTAAGACGTGTTCATATGTCAGGCAACCTGTTTTTATTCAGAAATACAAATAAAAATGTGAACACTCATTTCCCCCCTTAGTAAATAATATTTTTGTAAAACTACAGAATAACATAATTTGACTGTGTTTTCTTCAAAATACTTTCTTTTTATCCTCGCTCCTCTAAAACAATATATATTTATATGTATCTACAACCTTATTTACATTCATTTGGCAGTTTTGGCCTCACTTTCTTCTGTTTCTGGGTTCAGGTAGCTCAGCACTTTCATCACCGCCTCRTTCTCAGAGCCTTGCATTTGTGTCTCCTCGCCCGTTCTGTCCTCCTCCGACTGTCTCTTTGGGTTTTTCTCTCTGTCCATCAGATCAAAGTATTCCTCTAGCGCCTTCTCAAACGAGCCCGCCATGCTCTGTTCGACGTCACCTCGCTTCTGAGTCGCCTTCTTGTTGTTGCTAAAAGCGGTCTTGGGATACCGCGCCAGCATCTGAGCTGCCAAGTAAGCTGCAAGTTCATCCTCGTCCACCGTGTCGTCGTAGTCGTCTCTGAGTGTGTTGGGAAGGCGCCACTGCGTGGGAGCGGATTCCCCCGGACGCCCGGCAGGGGAAGCGTGAAGTCGTGACGGGGAGCTCTTGTGCTGCCTCTGGCCTCTGGTGGGAGTTGGATCCTCCGTTCCTTCCAGACCCAGGATTTTGAGAATCTCTTGCGTTCTCAGCTCCTCTGGGGTCTTTTGTTCGTAYAGCGGACGTCTGCTGTWGAATTTAGATTCTGGAAACTTCACTGTCTTYCTGGAGGACATCTGGGCCAGCCTGCTCTCGGCTCTGGACAGTCCGYTGTTCTTTCGCAACTTGTCTTGATTCGTCCGGCCTCCAGTTTTGAGCAGTTCCATCAGGTCTGCAGGTGGGATGTGGTATTTTTGGGAGATGGTGAGGAGCTGGTAGATGAGCCGTGGATCGACGTTACCTCGAGTCTGAGCCACCCTCCTCTCAGCYCTTTCCTCTTCTTCAATCTCTCGTTTCTGCTCTTCCTCCTCTGTGTTCTCCAGAACCTTCAGGAGGTAGTAGTCCATCAAATTGGCCATGTCGTCTGGATCGCTTGACCGTTTCACCGGATATCTTTCATCATCATCGTCTTCATCAGCTTCGCCATCGTTGTCGTCGATATAATCAAGCCCTCGATCCAACTCTTGTTTGTTGTCGCTTTCTTCCTCATCTTCCTCGTCCTGTTCTTCTGGAGGACCCCAGTCTGCAAGCTCCCCATCCATGTCGTCATATTCTGCATTCCTCACATTAAACACATCTTCCTCCTCCTCCTCATTGTCCTCCACATCATCGCCCTCATCTTGGCGCTTATGAAGGATCTTGGAACYGGTCAGCTTATCCAGTTCGTCGAACACCGACTGCAGCGTGGCCAGGTTCTGAGGCGTGTACTTCTCCTCCACGTTCTCATTGGTGCGTTTCAGGAGGCTCTCACGCCTGGGCCCCTCTCTGTCCTCTTCCYCACCTTCTTCCTCRTCTTCGAACATCAAAGGCAGCTTCTTGTGGGGCACGATGGTGCGTTGCTCCTGCGGCACCCTGGGAAACGAGCCAGGACTCGCGCCTGTCCCCTTCGTGACGGGATGGAGGGGCCTGGAGGCCTGCTCTGTTTGCTGGAGAGTGCTGAGCACTGCCTGGAGCAGCTCTTCACTCTTATTCTCCCCTTTCTCCTCCTCCTGCTCCTCCCCCTCATCATCTTTGCTCTGCATTGGGTTAAAAGCCAGTCTCAGCATGGCACTCAGCTTCTCGGCGTCATCTGTGCGATCRACGTCATGCCCCGCCCCTACAGGGGCTTTTTGATTGAGAGTTTGGATGTACTCTAGGGCTTTCAGCATGTCTGCATTGGGTGCCTCAAGGGCATCTCCTCTCTGGGGGTCGGGTTCACTTCCCCGCAGCCTGTGGTCTCTGAGCGAAGCCCCGTTAACGGCAGAGGAAGTGAGGAGGAGAGGGATCAGGAGGAGATTGGCCAAACAGACCAAGAGAGGCTTGCTGGTTTTGGAGATCTGAGGGAGTGACGGCATGATGACGTCTGCAGAGAGAAGACAAACAGGCACGTGTCATCACTGACCTTAACGTGCTGGAGCTAACAGCTTCTCACTGTTTACCACTCTGACACTGATATCATGTTCTGTCTGACCATAAGATCCCAGAAAACTGGCTTAAATCAAGCGTCTTCACAATAAATCACACTTTTATACCATCGGTAATTTAATATTTTTAATTCCTTTCAAGGAAATGATGTTTTTCAAAAAATATAACCAGTTTTTAGTCAGCATTTTTCATTGTTTAATAAATAAAATTCAAGACCTAGCGTTTTTTTTAAAGAATGCATATCACCCACTGCTTTTCATGCCAAAACTGTAAATCTTATTTAAAGAAATTAAAGAGCTGTAACCATTTTTAAAATAATTATATAAATGATCTCGTGTGACAAGATGTCATGCTCAGAGTACGTGTTGTAAATGACTCTCAGCTTCTACCACATCGAATTTTAACCAAACCTCTGTGAAACTGACTGAGTTATCATTATTTCTATACATATTAAATTAAGTTTAACCTAAAAGTTCCTCAGTCGTAGATCCAGTGATGACTTCTTGGACGATTCAATTAATCTACCCTGCAGTTTACGAGATATTTTGCTAACAGACAAACAAAAGATCGACAATTCTGGCTACAATTACAAGCAAAGGTCTAGTGTGGGAAAGACTCTCAGCCACAACCACACTTAATTTTAGCACAAAATCWGTAAAACTGACTTATTTGACTGTAACAACTGTTTTGAATTGGACTAAAAGTTAATCAGATGCAAAAGTTTATCTAATGAATATTTGCTGAAAGTTTCAATAAAATCGCTCCAGTGGTTCCTGACATATTTTGCTAACAGACGGTGTTGACTTGAAAAAGTTAATGATAAAATATGAAAGCAACAATTTTGCACAATCTATGCTCAGAATATGTATTGGGGGATCAACACAGATTTTGTGACCTAACCAAATTTTATCTGAAAAGCTGTAAAACTGACTTTTTTTAAATTATTTTTATATTGGGGCAAACGTGATCGCCAGCCTCTAATAGTGTAATCCCAGCTCCATCTCCAGCAGTGTGAGTTTTCCTCCTGTCCACCTCCCTGCCTGTTGCTGGTGCTGATGCCGCCTGTTTGTCAGCAGCTGGAACAGCAGCTGGATCCAGCTCCCTGCAGATCCTATTAGTCCAGCTGGCTGTGAGTCACGTCCCTGTTGTCAAGGGAACCCGGTGAGGCTGATGTTCCCAGAAAACCTCTTTGTCTGCCTGAAAACCCTCCCAGCCCACAGATGTTATTGTTGCTCGTCAACCTTTTATTCATGTTGAAACAGTTTACTCTGAGACAATAATGTCCTTTAGAGCAATCAGCTTTTCAAACGAGTGTGTCCACTAAAAGCAAACAGGGTTTTTAAGGCACAAACTTTGAAGCAAAGTGTATTCATCATGTTTATCATTTGTGTTCATGTTTCTGACCTGAATATATCCCGCCACATCAACTTGTTTACAAACAAGACATTGTTAAACTAATCAGAAAGAGTCCACGGARTGTGAAAGGAGAACAAAGGACCACCGCGGACACCAAACCTTACCCCCCTCTGTGCGTCTGGAGCGGAGCATCAGGTTGGCAGGAAGATAAAGACACTTCAAGTAACTTTAAAAATGTAACTAGRCACCTGACACATGACCGGAAACTGTTTGAGCCTCAAGCTATTAATGAAAATCCGGAGTCCTACCTTTTATTTCCAATTACTTCGTGTCTCCAAGGTGGGTGAGCGAGCTGAGCATCTCTCTGCCTCGCGCTGTGTTTGAGTCTGAGCTCAGCACCGCGGACAGCTCCTCGTGCTATTAGAGCAGTCACCTGACTCGTGCGTCAGCAGATACGCAACACACGCCCGCACACGCACACACATGCTATGTCTCTCTCTATCCTTGTGGGGACTTTCCATTGACTTCAATTCATTTTTTTTTTTAAATTTTATATCTTAACCCTGACCACAAACCCTAAGGCTAACCTCACAAGTACCAACCTGAACCCAAAACTAACCTAAACCCAATTCACACCTTGGTCCTAAACCCAGCCAAAATCAGCTTTCGAAGTTGTGGGGACTGGGCTTTGGCCCCCACAAGGAGCATCCGGTCCCCACAAGTCTGCATTTTCCTGAAAAAGCGTCCCCACCAAGTAGCAAGGACAAGGCCACACACACACACACACACACACACACACACACACACACACACACACACACACACACACACACAAATATCCCTCTATTCCTGTCTCTCTCTTATGCGCGCGTGTGTGTGTTTGTACTCACACACGCGCTGAAACTGGCTCAACGCGCACGCGCAGGTCAGCCACACAGCACGGTTTGAGCTGCATTTAAATGTGAGACACGGTTTGTGTCGTGCAGCAGCTAAAAACTGATAATGACACGAATAATAACAGAACTATACTTAGACCCACAAGTCTCTGAAAAGCTACTGACTTCTTTAATGTTTGTTCATTTAATGAGTCCACATTCTGCTGAGGCTCAAGTGAACAACATTAAGAGCTCGAACTATGTTTTTTAAAGGTTTATAATACTTCTAGTCCGAATGAAAGCTTAATGCACTATGAAAAGTGCTGGATTAATGTTGGTTTGAGGTTTTAACTCAGCAGGGTTGGGTCATCAGTTTGAGTCAGACCACTGGGTTACATTTTTAACCCACACAAATCAAGTTGTACATATTGGCCCTAAATTAGACCGATTTTCCAGCATTTAGGGAAAATTTTATGATGCGCAATTAATCGTCAGTAAAGCAATTCATATTCACCACTTTGCAGTTACTGCAAGTAGTGCCATGTGATGACGACATAGTTTTGTGTGTGACACACTAGACCAGTTAGTCGCTGTGGGTACTCGTGCAGGGCTTGCACGCACTCCTGCCAGCGGTGTAGGTGTTTATAGTTGACACTATTGTTGCAGTATTCTTCAAGAAGACATGCGGCAGTACACTTTATAACATGTGAAAATGTAAGTAGGCGAGCAAAAGCTTGACAGACAAAGAAACTATTTGAATTGTGCGCCGCTTCAGAGTTACAAAAATTCGGAGATGTGCGACCATGTGCCAGGACACTGCAGTGCCAATGCTCAGGCTCAATGTGCAGTGGCGGGGACAATGCGATTGGGCCACCATTGGCCAGTGCCCCCTTGCACTCGGCACGACGCGTCAATTATACACCTAGTTTATCACCGTCAGGTGCACATGTGAGCCTAATGGTAGAAGGCGGCGTGGAGCAGCTAATTTTAACTCTAACCCTACGAACCTGTGTAATCACCTGAAACACCAGCAAAAACACAAGTACGAGGAAAGCCAGAAAATGCAGACCAAGGCCACAACGTCAGGTGCATACAAATGCTATTGTCTGCTAACAATCGTTATCAGCTGAATGCCACAATTAATCGTGATCAATTTTTATATCAATATTGCCCAACCCTATTTTGCATGTATGTAGACATGGAGAAAATCTCTTACGAGTTGTTTATCCCATCTTATTGTTACGTTTTACATCTTGAAACAAAAGTCCAGTCAGGTTCAATTTGGTCAACATCTGGCTTAAAATGTAGGGTTGTGAAGAACGACACACTGGGTTAAAMTTTTCACCCTGATATTTGGTCAAACATACCCAAAAGCTTTACACCATCAACTGAGTTGTTGAAATAAACCAGCAGTTTTTAGAGTGGAGTACCTGTTTTTATCACCTTTGTAGGATATTTCCTATAATCACCTGTCTTGTAAGGACCAGTAATCCTTCTGTAGACCAAAGYCCAGTCTGTGATGGAAGATCATTCTGGAGTTAGAGGTTAGGTTAAAGTGTGAGTTGAGTTTAAGCACTGGTAAGTTAGGTTTACAGTCAGGATTAGACTACAGAAATGTCCCAACAASGATAGAAATACAAACGTGTGTGTGTGGCAGAGYCTTTGAAGTGCTGCTGTGATTGACTTCTGTTGTGTCTCTGCCGCAGCAGAGAGGGACAGAGACAGTTAAAGTCCACCGATGACTCACACACAGCCTCCGCCAAAGTTCAAGATGGGCGGGGTGACTGCAGAGGCGTGTGTGTGTGTGTGTGTGTGTGTGTGTGTGTGTGTGTGTGTGTGTGTGTGTGTGTGTGTGTGTGTGT